ATAGAACACAAAGAGTAATAGTAAACAGAGTAAAGTCCCAGGCAGCCATGGTAAAAAGCTCTGTTCTACAAGGCACAGTACTGGGCTCCCATTCTATTCCTCATCCTCATTTCTGACATAGACAGAGATAAGCCATAGCTCCGTGTCTTCCTTTGCGGATGACACCCAGATTACCATGGCAGTGACCTCCATCGAAGACACTAAGAGACTCCAAGCAGACATCAACCAAATCTTCGAATGGGTCACTCAAAACAATATGAAGTTCAACGAGGAAAAATCAATACTCAGATATGGGAAAACTTGAAGAAATTAAAAATGTGTCAGGGTATACCACAAATTCTAACCACACAATAGAGCGGAAAAGTAATGTGAAGGACCTGGGAGTGATAATGTCAGAGGATCTCACCTTCAAAGACCACAACAATGTATCTATCTCATCTGCTAGGAAAATGATAGGATGGATAATGAGAACCTTCAAAACTAGGGACGCCAAGCCCATGATGATTCTGTTCAAATCGCTTGTGTTCTCTAGGCTGGAATACTGCTGTACACTAACGGCCCCATTCAAGGCTGGCGACATTGCAGACCTGGAGAATGTACAAAGAACTTTCACGGTACACATAAGTGCGATAAGGCACCTAGAATACTGGGAAAGGTTGAAGGTCCTTCATCTGTATCAGCAAGACATCCTATTGGGGCAAGTGTTCCACAAGGAAGCGTGCTGGGACCATTGTTATGGAATGTCTACTTCAACGACCTTCTTCATCTCATCCCAGAATTCAATTCAATTCAATTCAAAGTTTATTCTCTATAAGGATTACAATGCTGAGTTTACAGAAATTTGGTTATTGTTTGGAATCACATGCATATGCAGACGACTGCACACTGACATTCACTTATCCAAGAGAAGAAATGCCAGCTGCTCTAAGCTACATCAATCACCAGCTGAGAGCTATATCAGCTTGGGGAAATAGATGGCAAGTAACATTTGCACCTGAGAAAACGCAAATGATGATCGTCTCTAGGCACCATGATGGTAATGCTGGTGCAGTAGTAAGGATGAATGGGAGGGTGTTGGCACCTGGAGAAGAAGTTGATATCCTTGGGGTGAAATATGACTCCAAACTAACCATGAAGAACCATGTTGTAAATCTTGCAAACAAGGCAGCCAGGAAGCTTACAGCACTTCGCCGTATCTCGCATGTACTTGACAGTAGGGGTTGCAAGATTCTGTACGAGGCACACGTACTCTCGCACCTTGAGTATGCTCCACTTTCTTGGTTTGCCTACCCCCCCCCCGCCCCCTCATCTGCGACTGCTTGACAGTAGAGAACAGAGCAAGACGTCTCATCTCTCGCCTGGACCCATCCTGGATAGATTTGTCATTTCAGCAGAGCCCTTCAACATAGGAGGGATGTGGGTGGCCTTACTGTTATGTACAAGGGCCCAAAATTTTCAAAATACCTCACTTGGATCCACTTCGAGGACAGGTGAACAAGCTTTTATGCCACAAGACGGGGGAGAAAGCATCAACTTCACTCTGGCTGTACCCTTCTCCAGAACATCACTCCATCTGAGATCCTATATACCCAGGATGACTCGAGTATGGAACACATTCGTACAGCATAATGATGTCAACGAGATAACGTCAGTTGATCAAATGAAAATGCTGGCCCACAGATGGCTCCAACTTCATCCTGCTCCCTACTTGTATGTCTCATAACAATAAAAATGCTTTCAAATGAGCTGATGTAGGTAACAGCTCTTAGCTTGCCAATAAAGTTAGGAATCCTTAACCTGTAAATAGCTTGTCAATAAAGCTAGGGATGTTAGGTAAGACACATAGGCAACAGTTAGGTATCTTTATTTCGAAACGTTTCGCCTACACAGTAGGCGATTACATCGTCTTCAAGTATCTTCTGCTTCTATCAACTTTTCTGTACTCGACTGAAGAAGCCTACTGTGTAGGCGAAACGTTTCGAAATAAAGGTACCTAACTGTTGCCTATGTGTCTTACCTAACAACCCGTCGGTGTTTTATACCATTTCAATGTTCACAAAGCTAAGGATCCTTAACCTTGTCAAACCCCGTGTAAAAAAAAAAAGCAGGCGAGAGAGATACATGATAATATACACTTGGAAGGTCCTGGAGGGATTGGTACCAAACCTGCACACGAAAATCACTCCATATGAAAGGAAAATACTCGGCAGGAGATGCAACATTCCCCCGATGAAAATCAGGGACGCCACGAGTACACTGAGAGACAACACAATAAGTGTCCGGGGCCCAAGACTGTTCAACTACCTCCCAGCATACATAAGGGGGATTACCAATAGACTCCTGGCTGTCTTCAAGAAGGCACTGGACAGGCACTTAAAGTCAGTACCTGACCAACCGGGCTGTGGTTCGTACGTCAGCTTGCGTGCGGCCAGCAGTGACAGCCTGGTTGATCAGACCCTGATCCACCATGAGGCCTGGTCTCAGACCGGGCCACGGGGCGTTGACCCCCGAAACCCTCTCCAGGTAAACTCCAGGTAAACCTAAGACTGCTGCACCTCTCCTGCCTACAGTATATAAGCTACTTCTTCGCACATATGCTGTATTCTTTTCAAGATTGATGGACTGACCACTTCGACTCAAGGTTGAGGGACTGATTACCTCAAACTCCTCCTGTTCTTCACCGCTCTCCTTTGTATGGACTGATGAAGCCACTGTGTGGCGAAACGTTTCGTCTCTCATATGTCGGATGACCCAAGCTCAGTCACAAGAATATTAAATAAAAAGAACAGGGAAGTTAAAGACCGCTCAAGCGGTCACTAAAGAGCGAGTCAGAAACACTTATGAAAGAAATGGTGAGGATCAAGAAAAATTACGTTAATAAACATATATCAAGTCAGTTCCGACAAACAAAAATATAAAAACTCAACACCAAGAATAATATAACAAATAACATATAAGTGGACCCCCATATTTACAGACTTGATGGGAGCAGAAAGTCAAGTGATTAGAGACTCGCTCTAAGGATTCTTCTTCAACTCCTACAGAGTGAAATATGGGATGATGAGAGGCGGGGAGAGGTAACGTTGTCCGAGAGTTACTTAATAAACATTCTGTTATTTATTCAATCAGTATCATTCATACATACGTCCACTTACTTAACTAACCAACTTTTTACCCCCCCCCCTGACAACTTAATACATTACTACCCTATTACACGTAAACTTAAATAAGCAACAACGAACTGGCAGACGGACACTGACAACAGACAGACAGATACAAACACACATACACACACACATACACACACACACACACACACACACACACACACACACACACACACACACACACACACACACACACACACACACACACACACACACACACACAAGACACAAATGAGTCAGAGAGATAGTAGGAAGTATTTCTTCAGTCATAGAGTTGTAAGGCAGTGGAATAGCCTAGAAAATGACGTAGTGGAGGCAGGAACCATACACTAAGGTATTTGAGGAGGTAGATCATGGTAATGAATATGATATTGTGTATATGGACTTCAGTAAGGCTTTTGACAGGGTCCCACATCAGAGACTATTGAGGAAAATTAAAGCACATGGAATAGGAGGAGAAATTTTTTCCTGGATAGAGGCATGGTTGACAAATAGGCAGCAGAGAGTTTGCATAAATGGGGAGAAATCAGAGTGGGGAAGTGTCACGAGCGGTGTTCCACAGGGGTCAGTGTTGGGCCCCCTGCTGTTCACAATCTACATAAACGACATAGATGAGGGCATAAAGAGCGACATCGGCAAGTTTGCCGATGACACCAAAATAGGCCGTCGAATTCATTCTGACGAGGACATTCGAGCACTCCAGGAAGATTTGAATAGACTGATGCAGTGGTCGGAGAAGTGGCAGATGCAGTTTAATATAGACAAATGCAAAGTTCTAAATGTTGGACAGGACAATAACCATGCCACATATAAACTAAATAATGTAGATCTTAATATTACGGATTGCGAAAAAGATTTAGGAGTTCTGGTTAGCAGTAATCTGAAACCAAGACAACAGTGCATAAGTGTTCGCAATAAAGCTAATAGAATCCTTGGCTTCATATCAAGAAGCATAAATAATAGGAGTCCTCAGGTTGTTCTTCAACTCTATACATCCTTGGTTAGGCCTCATTTAGATTATGCTGCACAGTTTTGGTCACCTTATTACAGAATGGATATAAATTCTCTGGAAAATGTACAAAGGAGGATGACAAAGTTGATCCCATGTATCAGAAACCTTCCTATGAGGATAGACTAAGGGCCCTGAATCTGCACTCTCTAGAAAGACGTAGAATTAGGGGGGATATGATTGAGGTGTATAAATGGAAGACAGGAATAAATAAAGGGGATGTAAATAGTGTGCTGAAAATATCTAGCCTAGACAGGACTCGCAGCAATGGTTTTAAGTTGGAAAAATTCAGATTCAGGAAGGATATAGGAAAGTACTGGTTTGGTAATAGAGTTGTGGATGAGTGGAACAAACTCCCAAGTACCGTTATAGAGGCCAGAACGTTGTGTAGCTTTAAAAATAGGTTGGATAAATACATGAGTGGATGTGGGTGGGTGTGAGTTAGACCTGATAGCTTGAGCTACCAGGTCGGTTGCCGTGTTCCTCCCTTAAGTCAATGTGACCTGACCTGACTAGGTTGGGTGCATTGGCTTAAGCCGGTAGGAGACTTGGACCTGCCTCGCATGGGCCAGTAGGCCTTCTGCAGTGTTCCTTCGTTCTTATGTTCTTATGTTCTTAAAGCTCATGGAGCGGGGAGAGAGAGGGCCCAGTAGCAACCGGTGAAGAGGCGGGGCCAGGAGCTAAGACTCGACCCCTGCAACCACAAATAGGTGAGTACAAATAGGTGAGTATACACACACACACACACACACACACACACACACACACACACACACAAGGACGCAGGCTAGGAGAGAGAGGACAGAGCTTCAGTTATGGTGAGAGCGTCGTGGTGAGCGGACAGGCAGCAGCCAGACATCCTACTGTGTGTGTGAGAGAAGTGACCTGTTCGTCAACGTTCCCAGCTCCGTCTTAATTAGTGTCTTAATGAGAAGTGAAGTAATGCCATGATCTAGTGTTAAGTGCTTACCTTCACGTGTTAGTGATCATTTAGAGTGTCATCCTCGTGTCACCTTACAGGAAACAAGTGATGGGCAGCGTGTGTGTGTGTGTCTATGTGAGGTGAACTTAGACACTGACGTGTGTGTACAACCATCAGCTGACTCTGTTGTGTCACTGAGGTGATCCTGTCGACCGTCCCACGCTAACACCTGCCACCTCTCCTACGCTAACACCTGCTACCTCTCCTACGCTAACACCTGCCACCTTTCCTACACTAACTCCTGTCACCTCTCCTATGCCAACACCTGCCACCCTTCCCACGCTAGCACCTGCCATCCCTCGCTCAGTAACACCTTCCGCCCCCTCTACAATAGCACCTTCCGTCCCTCCCACAGTAACACTTTCCGTCCCTCCCACAGTAACGCCCTACAATGTAACTATCATACAAAATTGGGTAGCCAGAGAGTGTGGGCGTCCCAGGCTGTGTTAGACACACTTCTGGAGACTAGCGTTGGTTCTCGGTGCAGGTGTAGTGCTTGTGAGGCTGGGCAGGAGGTGTGGCCCACGGCCGCCCTGGCGTCATGGGTGGCAGGTGTGGGCCACAATGGTGGCGGGCCGCACATGTGAAGCTACAGGTGGGTGGTGGCCTTGCCGGGCCACCCTCTTACTAACCACTCTCATGAGTCGACACAGCTGCAGTGCGGCCCGCCTGGCCACACTTATGCTGCTGGCCACGGTGGGTGTGGCCGGGGCTGTGGCCAAGCCAGCGCCATCACACCCGGAGGCCATAAATGCCACCCCTTCCCACCACCACCCCCCTGAAGACGACTATTACTACTACTACGACTACGATTACAGCGTCAGAGACGACCTCAATATGAGCGAGTTCCGCCTACCGGACGAGGAGGCAGGGGGCGACGCTCCCCACGTACCACGGTACATGTTGCAGTTGTACGCTGACCAGACCTCCAGGCGCGCCGGCCATCTCCCAGGAGCTGACCTCGTCAGGAGCTTCATTGCTGTTACCACTGGTGAGTACCACATCAACTGTTACCCCTGTGAAATAAAAATACATTTGCCTGTCGCAAAACGTACGTGGCCATTTAGTTACCTGCCGGAATTAATAAATAAAATCACCTGTTCCGTACTTGTTCTTTTGTGTCAGGCGAGAAAGAAAAAAGATTTTGAGATGCAACAAGGGAAAGATAACATGATTTGTACAGTGATATGTGAGAGCCCAGCATCTGGGCTGTTGATGGTGACAGCTGAAGAATAGTGAACCGACTCGCAAAACAACAGCCTTTTAATGTCTAGCTTTAACATCTATTGAAACGCCGGTAGAAAAACGACTTAACTGTTTATATGTTTTGCTTCACCTAACTCGCAAATAAGGGAGGTTATTAGACAGTCACCAAGTAGTGAGCGGGTTAGTCGTGAATTGTGTTGGTGAAGTGTGTAGTGGTTGGTTACCATGACGCTGCTGGTGAGACTCTACCTCACCAGGACTTTTTTCTCTTCTACCCTACCATATGACGTTTCTCGTGAGCTCAATAGGCTATAATCCTTCTCGTGAGCACCTTAGGCTATAATCCTTCTCGTGAGCGCCTTAGGCTATAATCCTTCTCGGAGGCGCCTTAGGCTATAATCCTTCTCGTGAGCGCCTTAGGCTATAATCCTTCTCGTGAGCACCTTACCTTATTATCATCTTGAGTACCATACACCTTAATCCTCCTGGTGAGCGCCATACGCTATAATCCTCCTGGTGAGCGCCTTACGTTATGATCCTCATCCTGTCTACACGTGCTATGATGGGGTGAGAGCACAAGAATCAGCAAGAATGCAGCAACATATAAAGGTAAGCGACGACTTTACGTTAGACGACGTGTCGTTCAGGATGAAGGTCAGTCATCAACGAAATGTTTAAAATAATCGTGTTCAATACTACGTGTCTCTTCACTTGGCGGTATGTTGCCCCAGTAGCCAACGGTGCAAGTTGTTATTGCAACACGATACAAATAAGAATTTCGGAAGCGTCTTCAGTGAGTCAGCTGTATGATTCTCAGTGTATTATTATCTTTGTTTATGAATACTTCAGTGTCACGAGCACTTGTGAAACACTGAGAGAAGTTACAGCAGCAGTACCTCGCAGGAATTTATAACAATCGCTCGCTTTAGAGTCTAGATTATCCGCCAAGATTTGTTAGTTATTGTAACTCACTGGAAAGAGTCTTGGGAAAATAGTAGGAGGGAGAAGTAAGTTTGTGTAGACTAATACAGTCTGGGTAGGGAGTAAACTTTATTGTCTCATCAGTTAGGTGACAGTTTTCATTCATCATGATGTGGGTCCGTTCTTCAGACTGGAAGAGTTGAGGATTGCCTCAGTGAGCTTGAATATAATAGCGCAATGTAGTGAAGGCTCTCCTACCCTGTAGAGTTTCCAGTAGATGTCAGCAATCTAGTTCCAGCGTTGTGGAGTGTGTGTTTCACAGTTTCATCAAATAATTCCTAGCAGAGGGACCTTCCGTTCATTTCTTGACGTGGTGGATGGCTGTGCAGAACTGGGCGATGGAGTCTTTGTTCCTTCTGCAGATATATTTGGGTATATAGACGTTGCTGGTAAGAAGATGATGCTGTAATATTTTTAGAGACAGGAGTTTCTTTTGTTAAATGGTCTGGAGAGGCAGGTCAGGACGATGTTGCAAGATTTTAGTTGGGAGATGTTTCTTATGTTGATGGAATTTCAGCGGCAGCCTGAGTGGTGTTGGCGATTTTTAAATACTTCGGTGGATTGCGTTTTCCATGGAACTTTAACTTATAGGTTACTGGGTGGAATTCTTGGCTGACTGATGTCGGCGACCTACGTTGACTGGGTGGGCAAAGATGCTTCCTAACATGTTGCTGTTGCGGAATCTTGGGATGTCGATGCTAGGCTGACCTGGAGGTTACCTGGAGGTTACCTGGAGGTTACCTGGAGGTTATTCCGGGGATCAACGCCCCCGCGGCCCGGTCCATGACCAGGCCTCCCGGTGGATCAGGGCCTGATCAACTAGGCTGTTGCTGCTGGCCGCACGCAGTCCAACGTACGAGCCACAGCCCGGCTGATCCGGCACTGACTTTAGGTATCTGTCCAGCTCTCTTGAAGGCAGCCAGGGGTTTATTGGCAATTTCCCTAATGCTTGATGGGAGGCTGTTGAACAGTCTTGGGCCCCGAATACTTATGGTATTTTCTCTTAGTGTACCAATGGCGCCCCTACTTTTTATTGGGGGCATTTTGCATCGCCTGCCCAGTCTTTTACTTTCGTAGGGAGTGATTTCTGTGTGCAGATTTGGGACCATTCCTTCCAGGATTTTCCAAGTGTAGATTATGATATATCTCTCCCTCCTGCGTTCCAACGAGTACAAGTCAAGTGCTTCCAAGCGTTCTCAGTAGTTAAGGTGCTTGACAGAACTTATACGTGCAGTAAAGGATCTCTGTACACTCTCTAGATCTGCGATTTCACCTGCTTTGAATGGAGATGTTAATGTACAGCAGTATTCCAGCCTAGAGAGAACAAGTGATTTGAAAAGGATCATCATTGGCTTGGCATCTCTTGTTCTGAACGTTCTCATTATCCATCCTATCATTTTCTTTGCAGTTGTGATCTTGGCACTGTTGTGATCCTTGAAAGTGAGATCCTCAGACATTACTACTCCCAGGTCCCTTACATTATTTTTCCGCTCTATTGTATGGCCAGAGTCTGTAGTATACTCTGTTCTAGTTATCATCTCCTCCAGTTTTCCATAACGGAGTAGTTGGAATTTGTCCTCACTGAACATCATTGGAATTACTGCAGGATGACTGTTGCCACGAGTACAAGATCTGTGTTTTCTTGGCCGCATGGATATTTCCGCCTAAGTGACGTCCTTGGTCGTGCTAAGAGGCTACCAACTTTCCTCTTTCTTCTATGTTATCATGACTTTCCTGATGGAACTCTTGGCTGCGGAGGCATGTATTTGTGTCCCATAATGCCACATTAACAACAGAACATCCTGTCATTTGTGGGACAGACAAGAGCACTGTGGTTGTCACTGTAACAGTTCCTCCAAGGTGGTGATAATGATATTTTTCAATGTATCATGTCTGGAATTGGTAGTGATACATCTGGATTCCTCAGGTGAGCTCTCCCAAGTGGTAAGTGTAAAGATGAACGCTAACTTCTGAGACAAGACTAAAAAGTGAACAGTGTTAATTCAGCTGATGTCAACCACGTGTCTAGAAAACCAGTGTCAGCCAATGTTAACCACGTGTCATCATCTACACAGTTCCATGTATACATCTGTCATCATCTCCACAGTTCCATGTATACATCTGTCATCATCTACACAGTTCCATGTATACATCTACCATCATCTACACAGTTCCATGTATACATCTGTCATCATCTCCACAGTTCCATGTATACATCTGTCATCATCTCCACAGTTCCATGTATACATCTGCCATCATCTACACAGTTCCATGTATACATCTACCATCATCTACACAGTTCCATGTATACATCTGTCATCATCTCCACAGTTCCATGTATACATCTGCCATCATCTACACAGTTCCATGTATACATCTACCATCATCTACACAGTTCCATGTATACATCTGTCATCATCTACACAGTTCCATGTATACATCTGTCATCATCTACACAGTTCCATGTATACATCTGTCATTATCTACACAGTTCCATGTATACATCTGCCATCATCTACACAGTTCCATGTAATTACATCTACCATCATTTTACACAGTTCCATGTATACATCTGTCATCATCTACACAGTTCCATGTATACATCTGCCATCATCTACACAGTTCCATGTATACATCTACCATCATCTACACAGTTCCATGTATACATCTGTCATCATCTACACAGTTCCATGTATACATCTGTCATCATCTACACAGTTCCATGTATACATCTGTCATTATCTACACAGTTCCATGTATACATCTGCCATCATCTACACAGTTCCATGTATACATCTACCATCATCTACACAGTTCCATGTATACATCTGTCATCATCTACACAGTTCCATGTATACATCTACCATCATCTACACAGTTCCATGTATACATCTGCCATCATCTACACAGTTCCATGTATACATCTGTCATTATCTACACAGTTCCATGTATACATCTGTCATCATCTACACAGTTCCATGTATACATCTGTCATCATCTACTCAGTTCCATGTATACATCTGTCATCATCTACACAGTTCCATGTATACATCTGTCATCATCTACACAGTTCCATGTATACATCTGTCATCATCTACACAGTTCCATGTATACATCTGTCATCATCTACACAGTTCCATGTATACATCTGTCATCATCTACACATTTCCATGTATACATCTGTCATATCTCACAGTTCCATGTATACATCTGTCATCATCTACACAGTTCCATGTATACATCTACCATCATCTACACAGTTCCATGTATACATCTGTCATTATCTCAGTTCTTCATCCTCGTATTTCAGTCTCAACACTTGTTCTTGTATAGAAGTACAGAAATGAAAGTGTTTGTGTTGTTGTCAGTACCTGGTTCCCAGGTTGTTCCATAACCTTCTTCCTACTTCACCATCTTAGTTTCTAGTGTCTTTGTTTGATTTTCTATATCGTGTTGTCTACCATACACTACACCTGTTCCTTGCTCTGGTACCTCCTGTAGTGACCACCGTAAATTTTTTGTCCAGTCATGGGCTTTCTCCGACTTTTCCCATTTCTTTTTTTTTAAGTTGATATGAATCTTCCTGAGACCTCCTGGCAGGCTTTTTTTAAAGTTTCTCCATCATATCATAACCGATTTCTTCCCCAACTCACTTTCTCACTGTACTTCATTGCTTCATTAAAGATAATTCTCATTCTCGCTTCCTTTCTCTCTATCTCTTGGTCTGCTTTCCATTGATCCTTAATGTTGCCTCACTATATCTCAATGTTTATCAGATGATTATAGTTTAACATTCCGGCCACT